AAGAACATCGTCTATGTAGACATAACGTAAGTATAATCGTCTATGTGTACATACTGCATAAGCACCTTGTCTTTGTGTACATACCACATAACATAAGAACATCGTATATGTAGACATAACGTAAGTACATCGTCTATGTGCACATACTGCATAGGCACATCGTCTATATGTACATACCATATAACATAAGAACATCGTCTATGTATACATACTGCATAAGCACATTGTCTTTGTGTACATACCACATAACATAGGAACATCGTCTATGTAGACATAACGTAAGTACATCGTCTATGTATACATACCACATAACTTACGTACATCGTCTATGTAGACATAACGTAAGAACATCGTCTATGTATACATACTGCATAATCACATTGTCTTTGTGGACATACCACATAACATAAGAACATCGTCTATGTAGACATAACGTAAGTACATCGTCTATGTGTACATACTGCATAGGCACATTCGTCTATGTGTACATACAACATAACTTACGTACATAGTCTATGTAAACATAACTTACGTACATCGTCTATGTAGACATAACGTAAGAACATCGTCTATGTATACATACTGCATAAGCAGCTTGTTTTTGTGTACATACCACATAACATAAGAACATCGTCTATGTAGATATAACGTAAGTACATCGTCTATGCAGACATAACGTAAGGGCATCGTTTATGTATACCCTATAACATGGGTCATTAAAGCTTCAATGTTGAAGAAGAATACATTCATTCATATGTTTACTTTGCTGTGTTTAGTGCAAAGGCTCACGGTATACCAATCTAATTCGTACATGTGATAATGGTTGATACAATGTACCCATGGAGTGTGCACAATTAATTATCCTTATACGCGTTGTTTCTCTACAGATAATTCGCTCACAGGGTCCATGGCACATTCTATTCTTCTTGGTCATTGTGTTATTTGGTTCATATTACCTAATCAACTTAATGTTAGCCGTCGTTTCCATGTCATACACTGAGGAAGCTGCACGAAATGAAGCTGAAATTAAAAGAAATCAGAGGGATAATGCGGCTGCTACAAACAATTTAATGAAGTATAACCCAGAAAGACTTAAAATGCTTGTGAACAGACAGAAAATAAAAATGAAAATGATGAAAAAGAAAAAGCAACAACAACTTGTGGATGATAATGCCAAAACAGATGAACCCAAGGCGGATACCAATCTCGGCACTGCGTCTGTTGATAAAGTTTCTGATGGTGCTAATAAAGATTTGAAAGACAGCAAAGTAGCTGTTGCTGAAACGTTGGTACTACATCTAATACCAATGACGTCAACGTAGGCGCTGTCGCTATGATCGTGACGTCATCAGATGTCAGTGGTGATAAAACAATCGAAACAAATGAAGCAGACAGCAAAAGTGTTACAACTTCATTGACGTCCAATTCAGAGGTAATAATAACTTGAATTGTGTTGACTTTATTTGTACTCACATTTTTGAGTACCATAATTGTATACTGCCCGCATGCACGCATCTGATGGTTATTGCTGTTCAGTACTTATTTCTCAGTGCTTGCTTTCTTGTAGTGACCTTACTCAATTCTTGCTTAACTTTTTATCATACGCATGCGTACACAGGAATACACGGATTCTGATGACGATTACACAAGTAGTTTTAGAGACGCAGTAAGTAGTAGAAAATACAGTAAACTGTGAACCATAATTTATGTTGTATATGCTTGGGTATTCTTAACTATAACTATTTTTCTTGATTTAACAGTATTTTTATATTCTATTTTTTCAATTACTGACGATACATTGGTATTTAGTCAATCAGTTTAATTGTCCCTAAGTGGTGGTTAGGTTTAATGTGGATATCATGAGTGAGCGTAAAACATCGCAGTTCGTATATTCAACCGAGTTCACACCGTGATTCAGACATTCATCTAACCCCACATCAAGTTGGCTAAGGGGTTGGCCATTCGAATTCATGGGGGATGCTGGCAGCTTTGTTAGAAAAAATGCAAAACAGAAAACGAATACACTGCGATGTGTTGCATGAAAAAAAAAACTGTTAGCACATTCAAGAAAGATGAAAATCAGACCAGAAACCGCGAAAAAATGCACTGGTCACCCTCTTCTAGCCACCCCCACCCCCACCCCCGATGATTTTAATTGGTTGACATATATTTAATATACCCAGTTTTCTAAACAGCCTGCAAGCCAGAATTCAACCCTTTTTCCGACACAACTTGCAACCATTGCCGAGTATCTCCGAAATCCGCCGTCGAGACCACCATATCATACCATTCCGAGCACACCATGCTGTATCATGACCAACTCGTGTGTCGTGTTACTCAACATGTGTTTCACACGTGTTTTGTCAAGTGTGTTCTATGCTAACATTTTGTCGGCCATGTTCGCCTACTGATCTCCACCTGTAGCAGATCTGACTCGCCTGCAGTGTGCCTTCAGAATACTAGTGCTAGAGCCGGTCAACCAGAGTACCAGCTGATCCACCAGTATCAGATCTGACTCGCCTGCAGTGTGCCTTCAGAATACTAGTGCTAGAGCCGGTCAACCAGAGTACCAGCTGATCCACCAGTATCAGATCTGACTCGCCTGCAGTGTGCCTTCAGAATACTAGTGCTAGAGCCGATCAACCAGAGTACCAGCTATATTCATTGATATATGTTGTTTGAAAGATGATTTAATCATTTAATCATCTACTATTATTAAAGGTATCGGGCTAGCCTTTATTTTGAGGTTGGTTAATAATACACATTCTGTGAAAATCTTTTTTAGTAATCAATTCGTGCTCTTCATTTGTTGAAACAGAAAACGCCATCTAAAGGCAAATCACAGATGGACAGTATGGATGATAGTAACAACGAGAGTAAGTCATCAAGTGGCGATAAACGAGGTATGTGCTATTTTTTTAAACATATGTGTACGACAAGCGATGAGAAACATATGTCATTGTTCTAATTCAGGGTTATATGAAATACATGGTCTCTCTCCAAATTGGTTTGTTTGACAATTGCACGTTTCTATATGTACAGTTGGATTACAGGTGCGTATGCTGACAGACGAAGACACTGAAAAACCAGTACCGTGCTGCCCATACAAAAGATGTTGTTCTTGCTGTAGAGTATGTTGTGTGTGTAACAGAAAGGCTTACCGAATATGGAAAAGGTTTCAAAGCCGTGTTTATAATATAATCATGGACCCACTGGTGGATGTTTTCATCACGCTATGCATTCTGGTTAACACCTTGTTTCTTGCCATGGATCACTATAATATGCCGGAGACATGGGAAAAATCATTAGATTATGGGAACAAGGTAAGGCTTCTGGCGTGGGAAAAATCATTAGGTTATGGGAACAAGATAAAAGTTCTCGCCTGGGAAAATCATTAGATTATGGGAATAAGGTAAGGCTTCTAGCATGGGAAAAATCTTTAGATTATGTGAACAAGGTAAGAGTTCTAGCCTGAGGAAAATCATTAGATTATGAGAACAAAGTAAGGCTTCTAGCACAGAAAAAATCATTAGATTATGGAAATGAGGTAAGGCTTCTAGCATGGTAGCATGGGAAAAATCATTAGATTATGGAAACAAGGTAAGGCTTCTAGCATAGAAAAAATCATTAGATTATGGAAATGAGGTAAGGCTTCTAGCATGGTAGCATAGGAAAAATCATTAGATTAGGAAACAAGGTAAGGCTTCTAGCATAGAAAAAATCATTAGATTATGGGAACAAGGTAAGAGTTCGAGCATGAGAAAACGTTTTAGAGCATGAAAGCAAGGTTCTAGCATGAAAACAATCTTTAGATTATGGAAACAAGGTTAAAGTAAAACTAATTTTATGGTAAACGTTTTATCTATATGATTGACAAAGACATCACACTTTTCCCGCCGCATCACTTGCATATGTGTTTTCCTTTACAGGTTTTCACCGGCATATTTGTCCTAGAAGCAACCATGAAAATTATAGCCCTGGATGCGGCGTACTTTAAAAGCTGGTGGAATGTTTTTGATTTCTTTATCGTGCTAGTCAGTGTGATAGAGCTACCGCTGCAACAAATAAAAGGCTTTTCTGTGTTGAGGGCGTTTAGATTGGTAAGTAACAGTAACATTTTAATTCATCTATAAAAAAAGAACATTTCTTTCAGTTATTAGCCATAAATATTTAGGTAACAAAAACTAAAAATTAATACATGTATAAATACATCAACATTAAAATTATGCAATTTCATTTCATGTTTACAAAACTGTCAATTTTTTCGATCATTTCATCATTTCTATTTTTGAGTAGTTATTCAAGTTTCTGGAATGAACTGTGGATTTTACCAAGAAATGCAATATTTGTCGGTCTGAATGATATTTAGAACAGATTATTAAAAGTTTAATTCATCTTCAATCTTATTTAGCGAACATTTTTACAAATTCTATTTTCTTTGGCTGGGTATGCCTTCTTATCTCAATTTGCTAACTATAGTTACTTTAGACAAAACAGTGAAGTATGATTTGGTGTAGTCGTTATACTAAAACAGAATCAAGCAATATATTTAGTAGTCTGTAAAACAAAACTAGTATTTGAATTACAACACAAGCAAGACTATTTAAGTGTGTAAACTACTCACTTATACTGACGTGATTCACTTCCTCTCCAGCTTCGAGTATTCAAACTGGCTCAGTCGTGGTCTACAATGCGCATGCTCATAAGTATCATTGGTAACACCCTGTCTTCCATTGGTTATCTCACGGTGATCCTGTTCATCATCATTTACATATTTGCTGTGATTGGAATGCAGCTATTCGGGGAGGTCTACATAGAGGAAAACTTTGATGGCGAAGTACCAAGATGGAACTTCATCGATTTTTACCATTCGTTTATGATGGTATTTCGGATCCTTTGTGGAGAATGGATTGAACCATTGTATGATTGTATGAGGGGTTGCAGGTCAGCAAACAACGGATTAGAAGGTGCTTGCGTCGCTATATTCATTCTCACCTTAGTGGTTGGCAATTTTATGGTAAGAACAACGTTGATACGATTATTATAATAATCTGACATCATGTGACGTTTGGAATGGTGCAATATGCATGACAACGGCAGACCAACATCTGCATAGTTAGCATACGAAAATGGGTGGGTTGACGAAGATTGATAATTGTCAAAACTATTCTGATAGTGTGCGCAAATTCCAGATTACACGATATTACTATCATAGTTTAGCTGCTGTATTTTTTCATGATTTGTATTTTATTTTATTTTATTTACCATACTGCGCCCTCTGATGGCATAGTATTGTAATAAAGTTATTATTATTACTATCACTGGCGGATCCAGTAATTTGGTAAGGGGCGCTCCTATTGACGTGGGATGGGTTTGTCAATTGATTTGTCAATTTTTTTTCGAACTGAAGGGAGGGGGCTGGTGCGCTTGACTAGTACATGTGTTGTTCTACAAAATTGACAAACAGTTTTCACAATTTTATAGTTATGTAACATTTAGTGTGGACGAACAATGAGCTGATGAGTAGAACATAATAACGGATTTCGATCATGATTCCTGGGACATCGTGCCGCTTGTTGTGTTTTCTCGCCAATTCAGTAGTCCCGACACAACGTCGTATCCAATCATATGGACTTTATAGTTTGACAAAGTGAGGAGGACGTTGTACTCATTTCAATCAAAGTTTCAAACCCAATTTGTTCTGAAAGTCAAACTATCCGAGGATCGCCACAAAATATTTCATTCACTCGTGATTTGTTTATCGTTTTCACATTAAAAAAAAGTTTGTACTTGTCCAAACTGGAGTATATCATAACAATTTTACTACTAAACGGCGACAGTTCACAAAAACGAAACACACCATTTACTAATGATTTTTGAAAATAGAAAATATCCGATTCTAACGAAGCATGGTTTGACGCAAGAAAGCAAATGGTTGTCTATAACATTTTGGAACATCACTTTTAATGTTTCGTATTTAGTAACTGAAAGCTTTCAGGGACTGTCAGTATTGTAATCCCATTTATACATGTTAATCATTCAATAATACTAATGCCATTATAATTGCTAAATAATCCCTTTAAATAATGTCTTTCAGGTATTGAATCTATTTCTTGCGCTACTTTTGAACTCTTTCGCGTCCGACACACTAAAGAAATCCAGTGACGATGGTCCAGATCGCCTAACCCTTGGAATCCAGAAGCTCATAAGAATAATCACATGCAAACGATGTAGAAAGGGTAAAGTCGGACCTGCTAACAAAAAAGCCAAGCTTAGAAAAAAGAAGGAAGAAGACAAGAAAAAGTTGACTGATGCAGAAGAAAAAAATGCCACAGGATCAAATAAAAACTCACAAATCAGTCTTATTAATATTGACAACGGCAACTTCGTATCCGATGAAAAAGGTAATATTGTTATTTTTCAAACTGAATTTGTTTTTCATGATATTGCATTGATCAGCGGCATTTCCAAAATCGAAATATTATTTGATTTTTTTGTTCATCTTTTTTAGCTTCCGATATAGAACTGACAGACTTGGACGCCTCGAAGGACACGCAATTATCGCCCTCCAATGGAATGTTGTTGTCAGCATCCCCATCAAATGGGGGTTTGAAAGTGAACAGTAGTCATAACAGCATTGCAAGTAGTAGAAACGGAAGCGCCAGAAGCGTGCAGGTAAAACAGTTACGTCTGTATCGGCAACATCACCATAATACACCAGGGAAACTAGGACACATGAGTGTTCTGCAAAATAAAAAAATAAGATTAAAACACTTTTTTTTGTTGATATGAGGGGGATAATCTTCTCCTCTAGGGTTCTCCACACGTGTCAGGGGGGAATAGCGTCTCGTCTCTCTATCGCGTCCCCTTGAGGTACGGGATCGGGAATGGCACTTAAACTTTACAGTTAAATAAGACACACACAACGAAATACGTTTCAACTCTCGTCTTAGTCGGTCAGTCGAGCACTCTATAAGACACAGCGCTCTGGGGAAAAGTCCCCAAGACTATCGCAAGGCTGACCCAAGACTCCCCCAAGACTGCGTCAAGACTCGCCCCAAGACTCTCCAGGACTGGACTGCGTCTCTCCTGGTGTACTCGCCAAGACCAACTAAAACAACTTTATTCATTTTCAAAACTCTAACCAATTACAAAGCAGTATAAAGACTCTAAGGCGTGGCCTTCACAAATTCAACCAATCACACTAAGTACTGAATACGTTATATTTTTTGATTAATCGTTCACTACATTAATAATTACGAATACCAAACTGTCAGAAATAGTAGTCCGAATAGCGACGGTTATCTCGTAATTAGTTCCAAATCACTGAGTCGAGTTCCGTCCAGGACCTCGCCTGCCTAAACGATGACAGACATAACACATCCATTCGTTAGTAATCAGCTAATTAAGTCGATCAACAGATACGCGTAAACAATTTCATCATATTGACTTGACCTGTAAGTAGATGTCAGTTTTTGAAAGTACGTCTTTTTGGTTTTCAAATACATTTGAACTTTAAAAAGTATACCTCCTTCTCTAAAATTCAAAACGCACATGCGTTTCCCTCGACCAGCAAAGTGCCCCGGTCATCATATCTAAAACACACATGAAACATCCTGTATCAGACAACATTAAATGCTGGGGAAGAGCACGGAAGTGAGACACACCAACAATGCATTGAAACACACTGACAAGGCAACCAACGTTTGAACTACTCGTCCCTAAATTGTTTCAATCACAATAACAAGAAAACAGATAACAATTAAAAATAGCTAATTAATAGTTTGTAGGTGTTGCCATAGAAACTACTAATAAATGATATAAAACTCAGTCAATAGTATTCTTCGTGCTTTTTATTTTTGACAGGAGAGACCAGCAAGCGGAAGAACACCTTTTAAAACTCAACGGAATGCCTTCGTTTCGTTTGATTCTGCCTTGAAGAACAGTAAGACTAAAGAGTTGAATGACGAAGATCTGGAGAAAGGTAAAAGTGGCGACAAAAAGAAACAAAATGGACCACCAGAGAAGGACGGCGCAGTCAAGATAGCAGAAATTATATTAGAGGATCCTGTCAGACCTTGCTTTCCAGCCCGTTTGAATGCTTTCTGCGCCAAAAAATGTTGCTGTTCATGGGCTAGTAACATTGACAACACCAAATTTGGAAAACGGTGGCATGCCTGTCGGGGTTACGCGTATGCTATTGTAGAACATAAGATATTTGAAGGCATCGTATTGTTTCTCATCGCTGCTAGCAGTATTTCATTGGTAAGTTTCCACTAGATATCCACGTCTTAGGCTTCTTAGCTGAATATTTAAATGGCGAGAAAATGTAATTGTTATTGTAGTCAGTTGCTTGTCCATATTGTCTAAAACTGTTGCCATCTTATACTTCTTTCTGTTGTTCTTTTAAGATTTTTGAAGACATATACTTAAATGAACGGGCGGCTATATACAGAGAACTATTGAGCTACGCCGACATCTTCTTTGCAATTGCTTTCACCATTGAGATGTTACTTAAATGGGTTGGTTTCGGATTTGTCAAATATTTCACCAGTTTCTGGTGTTGGCTAGACTTCCTTATAGTGCTGGTAAGATTACACTTATTATCATGTGTGTGTAGAATAGTACCCCAGTAAAATGATTCTTACGCAAATCGCAATGTTTATCACAACAGGAAGTTGTGCACACAATGCACCATGGGAGTACCATTAGTACACAGTCCCTCTATAGACTATAGATGGATATTGATTAGTAATAGTGTTCATTTTAAACTTGATATATTCTGTAGTTGTCTTGTGTAAAATGAATCATACATACACTAACATTCAGCAATGGCATGACGTTAAAAAAAGACACGATTTAAAAGAAATATTTCCACATTGAGTGTGATTTGCTTAGTTCGACTTTCGTCTCATAGCAACGACTTTATTTAATTCCAGGTTACCCATGTCAGTTTGATATCTGCTGCTCTGGGATTGGCTAATTTTTCTGCTTTCCGCTCACTGAGAACATTGCGGGCCCTTCGACCACTACGAGCCATCTCTCGTTGGCAGGGAATGAAGGTAACGTGATCTATTAATCAGTTCCCACCTAAAGTTAATTCTACGACAGGTTACATTTTCTGGAATCATTTAAAAATCGGGGAAAATGTTAGCAGATTTGATTTTTTTGTTCATTGAATGGGATCGCAGGCATATAGGGTCCATGTTTACTGTCGTACAAACGATATTCGCTATTTGTGCATATAAATTTGCTTGTCTGGTCACGTGACGTGAATGTTTTACTAACTGGTGACACATTACTTCCAAACAGATTGTCGTCAACGCCTTGGCACACGCTATTCCGTCCATTTTCAATGTGTTATTGGTGTGCCTGGTGTTCTGGCTCATTTTCAGCATCATGGGTGTACAGTTCTTTGGCGGAAGATTCTACCAGTGCGTGGATGAAGATAAAGAAAGGTTGGATGTCTCAATAGTTTATGACTATAACGAATGTGTAGCTAAAAATTACACGTGGTGGAACCCGGATGTCAATTTTGATAACGTCATCAACGGACTTCTTGCGCTCTTCCAAGTGGTAAGTTTGATTGTACACACGTCGTAGTTGTCAGGGCCCTATTCAGTTTCAATTGTAATACAATGATGATATACATGTTTCTATTCCAGGCCACGTTTGAAGGATGGATGGAAGTAATGCGAGACAGCGTTGACATAACAGGGGTGAGCAGTCTCATATTGGTATAATAGTAGATAAATCATAGTCATGATAAAATTATGCTGAAGTAATATTAAACTCCCTAAAAAGGAATAGATATATTATCGATCTAGAATGAAATGGATGAAATTAGTGTGAATTATTGTGTTTCTACAGAAAAATATCATATATATAATGTAAATTTTGTGTTAATATATTATTAATATATTCCTGTTTAGTTTGATCTTCAACCACATAGAGAAGATAATCTGGGAGCATACATGTTCTACTTTATTTTCATCGTATGTGGTTCATTTTTTACACTCAATCTATTTATTGGTGTGATTATCGACAATTTTAACGTTTTGAAGAAAAAGGTATGTCTTCATCAAATACTTTTACTTTTTTTAAAATAAACATAATATTTCAGCTTCAATATGCACAATGCAGAGTGCTATAACGCGGCATGCTGTCATCGAAACGCAAAGTAATATCGAGCGCTGCTTCCAAATATAACATGTACTTATATACCAGGGGGAATATGTAAGAAATAGAAATAACATAATACTTTCAGAATGATGCACTTCCGATTCATAGGCGGCGCTATGTTGTTTATTGTTTCACAAATTATGAAAATTGAAAGAATCTTCTTCAAAAATTCAATGATGAGGTACTCGTTTTCTGACATTAACTGAAAATAGTTCAACTCTGAATGATATTTGTGTCACTTAGGAACCACGGCGACTAGATCTACCTGGCGCCATCTTGGATCGCGCTCAATATATACATTTTCGTAAATCAATAAACTGCTCAGCTGCGCTGGCTGGCTCATTTGCGAAGCATTGCCAGCTAATATTAATGACTATGTTGAAAATAATTCGTTTGATTTGTTGTAGTGTTCAATGACCATATATAGGTAGAAATGTACTGTATTAAATTCACTGATTTATTTTCAGTATGAGGGAGACAACACTCTGGACATGTTTCTTACATCTAGTCAAAGGAATTACTATCAGACGATGAAACGGTTAGGACAAAAGAAGCCTACAAAACAAATCAAAAGACCCACGGTAAGAACACACATATTGTGTCTGATGTGACGTAGAATATAATATTTCTGTCTTTGTCTCAATGTTGATGATGTAAAACTGCTACCAAAAGAAGATATTTCGTGATCTTACCGTATCTTTGTCTTCACTATTTGAGAAGTACAGCGGTCTCTACAGTTCGATAAGTATCTGAGCTGCGTTTTTTCAAACAATAGTCAATTCTAATCTATTCTGATAAATTCATCAACATCAACGAAAATTACATGTTAGACCAACTATCGTGTATTTGCTTAGCCAACTTTCGTGAATACGATTGCCTAACTGTCACGTGTCTAAATCATAATCCAATTTACATACAATTTCCCAAATAAGTACATGATTGCCAGTTAGTTTCCGTGTAACTGATTGGCCAACTAACTGTCATCTGGTTGGCCATCTGTTGTGTAACTGTTTAGCGAACAGTGGTGTATAAGATTGGCTATTTTTTCCTATATCTTATTGACCTACTGTTGTCTACTGTTGGCTGACTTCCGTGAATTTGATCGCTAACTTTGGTGTATATGATCGGCCCGCTGTATCTGATTGGTTAACTGTCGTGTATATTATTGGCTACATATCGCCTAAACACACTATTTACCTAATTAACATAGTGAATATATATTTGATGTTGAACATATTGATTTAGATGGGTTGTTATTTATTTTTTTACAGAACAAAGTGTCGTCGTTTTTCTATGATATTACAACTAGTAATAAATTCGAGATCTCCATTGTCCTACTCATATGTCTCAATATGGTTGCCATGGCAGTGGAACACTATGAGCAGTCTCAACAGTTCAGTGACGTCTTAGATGCCATCAATATCGTGTTTGTCGCCATATTTACACTAGAAGCCATTATGAAAATAATCGGCATGAGGTGGCATTATTTCAAACGTCCGTGGAATGTGTTTGATTTCATCATTGTAGTTCTTTCTCTACTGGGTGAGTCTTTAAACAGTCAATCTTTTCAACAAATATCGATGCTTGTGTGACGTATATATGTATGTTATGAAAATGTTTATTTCTACATGATATAAAAGGTCTTGTAAATAATATTTACTCCGTTTACGTGCCTTATCTCTGTTATGAACGACGAAGGATACGAAATGAAACCCTCTCCTAATGCATAATCCATTTTTTTAATTTTTTTTTAGGAATAATTTTGGATGATCTTCTACAAAGCGTAATCATCAGCCCAACATTGCTACGTGTTGTTCGTGTATTTCGAATTGGACGCGTTCTCCGTCTCGTGAAAGCCGCCAAAGGAATTCGAAAACTACTCTTTGCATTGGTCATCTCGTTACCTGCTCTGCTGAATATTGGTGCTCTTCTCTTTCTAGTTATCTTTATATATGCTATACTTGGAATGAACTATTTTGGTTATGTCAAACAACAGGGGGCGCTGGATGATATGGTCAACTTCACAACTTTCGGAAATAGCTTAATATTGTTGTTTAGATTAGCTACTTCGGCTGGTTGGAATGACGTGCTAGAACCTCTGATGGTGCAGCCTCCTGATTGCGACCCTAACTACAAGGGTTATGAGAACGGAAACTGTGGATATCCTAATTTTGCTGTGCTGTACTTCGTTTCATTCCTTCTAATAACATTTCTCATTGTCATAAATATGTACATTGCCGTCATTTTGGAAAATTTCAGTCAAGCTCATGCACAGGAAGAAGTTGGCATCACGGAGGATGATTTCGATATGTTTTATATCGTCTGGGGGCGCTATGATCCACATGCAAGACAATTTATCAAATATGAACAGTTGTCCAAATTCTGCGATGAATTGGATCCACCGCTACGATTGGCAGCGCCAAATCGTATCAAAATCACGGGTTTAAATTTAAGCCTGTATGAAGGTGACCGCGTGCATTGCTTAGACGTTTTGTCAGCCCTCACCAAACGAGTTCTCGGCGATGTGGAAGAATCGGAAGATTTTAAAATGTTACAAAATGAAATGACTCAGAGATTCGCTGATTCTTTCCCCGGTCTCGTCAAAAATGTCTCGACAGAAACAACTCTGGACAGAAAGAAAAAGGAAACAGCCGTACTAAAAATTCAGAAAGCTTACAGACTTTTCCGGCTTAAGAGGGAAATTGGGCGTGTAGCGTCCACGGTGAGATCACGAAACAGTCAAAGTAGCCTGTCGAACAGCTCGCGCAGGAATTCTATATTTGTGAATGCCGGAAACCTGGACGCCAGTTTCGGTAGTTCTTTTGGCAACACATTACGAGTACAACCCGAGAAGTATCAGCGAAGTATGAGCTTGACGCCGAGGCTGTCGTCGCAATCGTTAGCACCTCCGACTCCGAGAAAGAAGTCTTTGCCAAAAATAGAAAATACTCAAACTGGATCGATCAATGTGACGTCACCAGTGGAACACTGGAAGGATATTCCGCCAGCCAGTGTGAAAGTTGTTGACGAGTCAAATAAATCTGGCAAAGATTCTCAAACAAGACCAATATCAGCAAAATCCTTTACGAGGAAATAATATTTATTAATTGATGTGAGGATGATTACAATAGTTGCCGGATCTGTCCGGTTAAGGATATTGTCTCAAATTTGACAAACTCGATACCAGATTGGCGTGATCTCACTGGGTGACGTGGTACTATCACTTCCATACAATCACATATCCTAGTTCAGCTTCTATAACCACGTGATATCCGTCATTCGCGTGAATTGTAGAAAATGCTGTACTTGATTGTCAGACACTTAAACCTTGAAATATCGTCACGTTTATTTCGTATTTTGCAATGGTGCTTTTCCAAAACCTCTCTACTACCAGTAACATCATATTAATATTTAAAACTTACACGTTTGGTTATTAGGATATTTGCATCAATAAATAATGATTTCCCACAATGCAACGCGCTCTCCCAATGACAAGCATGACAGTTTTGATATGGTTACGACGTGCACTGAATACCGACGTTCACTCTTATGGTCACATTTGATATATTCCAATAATCACAGAAATTACCTTGTTAAATCTTGGCAGTGCCTCTTTGTACGCGTTGACCTGCTCTACAATCCAAAATCTACAAAATCTCTGCAGTCTCTGTTGATATGGGAGCCATATATTGCACATGGGCGGTGCATCGACCACCGCCCGTAACGTATATCTAACAAAGATATTAAAAAATACAAATTTTCGTTCAGATTGCAAGTCGAAATCCTATAACGCAATAAAAATAATATTATTATTACATGACCGACTCGAAACACATTAACTCAACTTTGTCGTCATACGTGTCTCTTTTCCTACATGCTGTTTTCTGCAGTTCTAATTCCCTGTTTTCTCTAGCGCTTTTGATATAAAAATGTTGATATTACACTTATTTTAAATGCAATATTTGCACATTCCAAGTAGATGATTTCGACAGCAATAAATCCCCCACCCCACCCAGTGTCATCTTTATGTTCTTGTTTTCACGAGACGTGTACCAAAGACATGACGTCACTTGTATAAGAGGGTCTATGCAAACATATCTTTTCCACGCTGTGTGCGATGTATAATTCATTTTACTGTACACTAAGAGTTCAATTCTTGACCATCTTATTACTATTTGGAGAAGACGAGTAAAATCATTTGATATCCCCTAAAAGACAATAGAAATGCAACAAAGTAGCAAACTCAATTAGGTACGCCGCCGTGTACCAGCCAACCAAGTTTACCATTTTTTGAGCTGGTTCAATTCTAAGTACAGCCAGACAAGGTGCGATCCGGGTATTTTGTATAAATCACGTGACATATCACATGAGATCAGCCTAGCGTTGCGCCTCTGCCAACGGATATATTTATAAGTATGATTGGACCATTGCGGAGGGCGCTATTCACTTGACGTTGGCGGAAGTGTAATTCAAATACCTAATCACACTACTTTTGCAATCTAACATTTTTCTAAGAACGCTATATTACAATATCACTAGCATTTATAAAGTATTTTTCTTATAGATTTCTATTTAAGACTTTTTAAGGAAGGTGGCTTGTATGATGTAAATATATTTCAGAATTGTTTGTGATAAATAAAAACATGCCTAAATATAATTAATTAATTGTGACTGAACTTTTCTGTAGTATCTTGGTCCATAACACAGTGATAGCACGCTATTGTATTTTATGCGTGTTGTCCAAGCTCAACTTCTTGTGTCAAGTTCCAAGAAGATGAATGGTCATTTGATTCGAAGGGTTCATTACATTTTACTCTATATCTATATTAATTTAGCAACAAACGTGTTTTACCTGCGACAAATTGCAAATCGCTGTAATAGGTCACAGCTATTCCCCTAAAAAACATCTACCGGAATTTATGGAAAGTTGTGATGAGAGTCTTGTTATTTTTTAGTAATTGCTCCAAAGCCAAGGGTTCGTCGAGTCAGCGGTTTGTAAACAATGCGGGTTTCGTCTATCAGGGGTTGTTATGGGTGGATGGTTTGTCAGGTTGAATATACGGGAAGTGGTTGTAACGGGGAATGGGTAACTCGCAAGGCAGTGAGTGGTACACTAGGATCGCTCGACACTTATACGCACCATTCAGTCATAAGGACACCAGTAATATCGTATAGCCGGATATTTATTACAACTACAATCGTCACCATACGCCCCCGGTCCTCTTCTAACTTAATACGCTAGAACCCCCCCCCCCATTTTTATAAACGACAGTGTTAATCGTTCAACCAATAGTCTAAATACTTTGCATGCGTTATCATGACGGCATGTGGACTCCGCCAGTGAGGGCGTCGCCCCATAGCATCGTCATGACAACATCAATGCAACTTGGTGACAGGTTATTTAATTGTTATTTAACTTCTCCACTAATAAAAATACAGACCGGTCTGTGTTATCAATATCTGTCCAATCATTTATGAGAATATGCACCTGTATGTTTGATGCATAAACTATATCACCATGGTAACCGTGCAAAAACAAAAATGTCGGCACCCTAGCTTTCTCAAGTCATGCTCGTGAGGTGTAAACTTTTATTTTTCGCTGTAATTTGCATTTAATGTTACTTTAGTCTGTACTTTATACCTTTTTAAATAGTATAACAATATAATTTTTAATTATAAAGTCAGATTGTTGAATTTTCATCATTCAAAAACAACGTTAACTATCATGTAGAACAGATTAGAAATCGGCAATTTCGTGCAAATTTCTAATCAAATTTTTTTCAAAGATCTAACTTGAAAACCTTCATTGAAAACCTTCAAAAGTAAATTGATATATTGATATATTCTTGTACAAAAAAGTTGGAAATACAAAATAGATTATAATTTGATACAAATTACAATGAGAATAAAAAGGTGGAAAATATACTCAACACGAGCATGGCTTTGGAAAACCAGGAAGCTGACATCATGCTGTCACATAGTTGATATAGTAATATACTTACAGATGACATTATTGGCACAAGCCAGTGAATGTGTGCTTTCATTCATTAAATTAGAGTTAAATATATGTAACATAACTGCTGATTAGTAGAACTTCTGGCTTTTAAGTAAATAGTGCATAAATAACATCTTTCCTTTTATACACCCGGAGTCACGGTTTAACAACTTTCCCCTACATAGATTATGGTAGATGTGTTATATGCTTTTGGGGGGGGGGGGGTATTTAGGACCTTGTATCATGAAAAGAACTTTCTGTTGCAATACGTAACAGGTCTAAATGCAGTTGACTGGACTATGCACTAAATCAAACATTGATATGAACTATCATGAACGTGCTCCCTAAAAAAGTATGATATGAATGATCTTGCGCCCTCAACTATAATATTATGAGCTGACTGCGCCCTCAAATACTATGAGTTCTTTCTATGGTCTCAAATTCAACACCGCATCCAATAAAATGCCCAACACTGGAAATACTGGACGGTGGCTCGCTGCTTCATTGTCAAGGTCGTAGTACAAACTACAATATTGTATGTACACATCTCGTGAACATAATAACATAATCCAGTTGTACGTGTTACAAAAAAGAAGTACATAAAAATCGCACCCCAAACCAGAAAAAAAAACGTGGTTATACAACTGTTCTGGAAAAGCGTGGTGTTCTTCATGTCACGTGGTGTGTAATTGTGCGCATTTGCAGAGAAAGGCTTTGTTGGCAACGCTAAAGACTGGTAAAGATGTTTTTTCCATCCAGCAGCCTGCAATAAATGACCCATGGACCAATCAGTGTGTACATTATCAACCTGCGTTTAGAAACGGTCCATACTTGGTTGGCACTTGCCAATGAAACACTGTATTCATCAATAAGGCTATCGCTCGTAAACATAGCGTGCCTACCACCTGTCAATCACTAGCCGTAACTAAAAAACAATATTTTAACACTGCTTTTCGAACCGCTCTAAAATACCATATAAACGGGTAACTCGAATGTAAGTGAACAGTTAATTGAACATCTAGTTATAATTTGTGTGAGATATTTCCAAAGTGAGCGTAGTTTATACAATATGGGCATACTCATTTTTGTAACTTCAGCAAGTGTGGTAATTTTTTTCGTTTAGCTCTTCACAGAAGTTGACCCTACAAAATATATGCACAAATATCGAAAATACTATAACAACACGGTAATGAAAACACAGACTGTAACGCAGACGATTTGAGGTGTATACCAGGTTGCTAATGACTTCCGGGTTTACCTATCCAACTATCCCGTGATATCGTCGTTTATACAGTTGTTCGTTATATGAACGAGTCGGTGCCCTCAAATACTACGAACGGACGGACGTGCGCCTTCACAGGATATGAACATACGCACACTCTCACATGATATGAACAGACGCACACTCTCACAGGATATGAAAAGACGCACACTCTCACATACTATGATATGAACAGACGCGAACTCACAGGATATGAAAAGACGCGCACTCTCACATACTATAA